AAAAAAAAAAAAGATACATACACAGTACGATAACAATGTTAAGTCTTTGTTTATTTGTTTGTTTGTTTTCTTTTGGAGACAGGGTTTCTCTGTGTAGTGCTGGAAGTCTGGAACTCACTCTGTAGACCAGGCTGGCCTTGAACTCACAGAGATCCACCTGCCTCTGCCTCCCAAGTGCTGGTATTAAAGGCATGTGCTACCACCGCCTGGTGCAATGTTAAGTCTTAAGTGACTTCAAGGTGTATTATTAACTCTGGCTTCAAGGTGCAGCAAAAGTTCGGGTCTCTTATACTGTGGTTTTGGCCCGATGGTGATGAGACAGAGGCCAGCAAGATGCTTTGTTTTATTTTTTCCCAAAGTAATTTTTGGAGATTGTGGGCTGGGGGTATTGAGACAGTTTCTCTGTGTGACAGCCCTGGCTTGCTTGTAACTAACTAGCTTTGTAGACCAGGCTATCCCTGAACTCACAGAGATCCACCTGCCTCTGCCTCCCAAGTGCTTAAGTTAAAGGCATGTGCCACTATTGCTAAGCTGAAAATTGATTTCTAAATCACTTTTACATAAGAAAAGCCTAGGTCAGACTTGTTCACATTTTGGGTTTCCGCCCTCCCCCCCCCTTTTTTTTTTGCTATTTTTATAATATCTGAGAATGATTCTGCTTCATCTTCTACACATTCCATAGGTGACAGGAAGAACTATGCATCTACCTCTCTTTCTGAATTGCTGTCAGAGGAGGTAGAGGCAGAAGTGAAAGCAGCTGCAGAGATATCCATGGGAACAGAGGTTTCTGAAGAAGATATTTGCAACATTCTACATCTGTGTACCCAGGTACATTATACCCACAGAGGCTATTGTTGAGGTCTTTCGAAGTCTGTAATGATTTGATGATGGCAGTGATGATTTTGCACTTATTGTTCACCTGACAATATATGAAGGTGTTCAGTCACTACCTCATCTGATGCCATCTTTTTGTGTGTGCTTAGGTGTGGGCAATTCAATAGATGATAAAGTAATTTATATTATGGGCATTAATTTTAGTTTGTTTGGGTTTTGGTTTTATGAGACAAGGCCTCTACGTTGCCCTGACTGTCCTCACACTCACTATGTAGACCAGGCTGGATTGAAGGAATGAACCACCACACTTGGCCCAAGCATTATATTTTGAATAGTGATATAACCCAGTTCTTATTTTAAGACTACAAAGCTGTACCATTAGATTACTTAATTTTTTTTTATTTTTTATTTATTTATTTATTTTGGTGATTCTTCCTCAGACTCCTGAGTGCTGGGATTATAAGCATGTGCTTGCATGCCTAGCTTTAATTTTAGTTTTAGAGGTGGCTATTTCCAAGCTCCCTATGATTGGCCTCAAACTCCATGCTCATGTAATCTTGCCCCAGCCATTCTAGTAGTGAGAACTGTCAGTAAGTTACCTGTCCATTTCTCTTTGTAGCCATTGAAGTCTAATATTTTCAAAATCAATTATATATTCTTTACTCATAACATTTGTGACTTCCTCATTTAATCCCTCATTTTAGGTGATTGAAATTTCTGAATATAGAACCCAGCTATATGAATATCTGCAAAATCGCATGATGGCCATCGCACCTAATGTTACAGTCATGGTTGGGGAGTTAGTGGGAGCACGTCTCATTGCTCATGCAGGTGACAGTTTTAATGTGATTTGTAAAAATGGGTATAACTCCTAGTACAGACTGAGTGAGGACCACAGTTCGATGATGATTACTGTTGCTTTGCCTGACTTTCTGAATAATGAGGGCATCTTCAGTCACTACCTCTTCTGAGACACTGTGGTCTTGGTTAGAAGGCTAAAATTAGTTCACTGTCATATTTTAGCTATGAGTTCAGTCAGTCTTCAGCATCAAGAAAATTCATCAGACCAAGTTTTGAATAAAGTTTTTAATTTACAGTATTAACTGGACACATTGCTATACTTCATCACAGAAGATCTCTTATTATTCCAGCTTAACTGGAATAATTCTTTCAGCAGTATCAGACAAATACTCAAAGTACCCTTTGCTGTAAGGTCAGAAAACTGTGGGCTCTTTTCAATTTCTTCACCGTTTCAGTCGTTAGGTAACCTTAACAGCAGTAAGAGATAGAGACTAGCTGAAATTCTAATGTTTGTACCATTAGTGCTTTATGTATTTCTAACACTGTTAAATGCAGCAAATCCATCAAAGTGTCTTAGCATACATCTAGATGTTTCCCTTTAAAAAAAAATTATTATGTGCATTGGTGTGAAGGTATCAGATCCCCTGGAACTGGAGGTACAGACAGTAGTAAGCTGTTCTGTGGGGACTGGGTTTGAATCCCGGTATTCTGGAAGAGCAGCCAACGCTCTTAAACACTGGGCAATTCCTCAAGCCCTATAAATGTTTCTTTTTTTCTTTGTTTGTTTGTTTGTTTGTTTGTTTGTTTATCAAGACAGGGTTTCTCTGTGCAGTTTTGGTGCCTGTCCTGGATCTCACTCTGTAGACCAGGCTGGCCTTGAACTCACAGATCTGCCTGGCTCTGCCTCCCGAGTGCTGGGATTAAAGGCCTGCGCCACCACCGCCTGGCTCTATAAATGTTTCTTAATTCACTTCTACCTCAAGGGTAAAAAAAAATAATGGCTCTATACCGTTGATATGACCTAATGTATCTAGAGCAACAGCGTGCTTGATTTTCAGAATTTTAGAAGATAGATGAAATTGCCAATGTTCATATCACTCATGTGAGCATGCTAAGGAATGTAGAATTTCAGTTCTCCAGTTCATAGATTTACTTGCTCTAGGAATAATAGGAAGCATTCAGGGTTTTCAGGGAATTATGTATACTAGTATAGAATCTTTCATATACCTAAAATTACATTTTTTTACCTTTTTTTTATAGGGTCTCTGTTGAATTTGGCTAAGCATGCAGCTTCTACGGTTCAGATTCTTGGCGCAGAAAAAGCACTTTTCAGGGCCCTCAAATCTAGACGAGACACCCCTAAATATGGGCTCATTTATCATGCTTCTCTCGTAGGCCAGTCAAGTCCCAAACACAAAGGAAAGGCAAGTACAGTTTTTCCACTTTTCTTTTTCAAGATACATTTGTGTGTGTGTGTGTGTGTGTGTGTGTTGTGTGTGTGTACACTCGTGTGCGCACATGTGTACTAAGTGCATATGTGTACTCAGATACTAGAGGGCATTAGATCCCTGAGTTCTTGGTGGTGTGAGCTGACATGTCTATGTTGAATTGTGCCCAGGTTCTTAGTAAGATTGGCAAATGCTGTTAGTATCTGAGCCATCTCCAGGCGTGGTAGTGCATGGCTTTAATCCCAGCACTTGGGATCTCTGTGAGTTCGCTGCCAGCCTGGTCTACAGAATGAGTTCCAGGAAAGGCTCCAAAGCTAAGCAGAGAAACCCTGTCTCAAAAAACTAATTTTACATATATATATATGTGTGTGTACACACATATGTATGTGTATGTATACACACACACATATATATGTGTGTATATATATAGAGAGCCATATGTATATAAAGAGCCATCTTTCTAGCCCCTGAGCTTTTTTTTTTACCCCTAACTCATTTTTCTTCTACTCTATTTACAGTGTTTATTAAAACTTCAGTTTCTTTTAATTTACTATATTTAAGTAAAAGGCATTTTTATATATTAAATGGTACTAAATTGTAATCTGCTCTGTTTGTCAAGAAAACCAGTATGTATTAGGTAGAGCATATTTAGTGTGCTAGACAATTCCTAAAAATCAAGTTTGGATGTCTTTTACACATTTCTGTGTTTTTGTAGATACCTAACGGAATAGGGCTAAACTGGAATTTTGTGAAATTCAGAGCACACTAATAGAAATAAAGGAGTAAGTAGACACTATAAATTAGTTTGAGGAAGGATCCACAAACAGACATTCGTTAAGCTTATCCTTTCTCTCCCTCTGTCTGAGGTTGAGTTTAAAACCCTATGTAATGCTGGGTACCAGCTATACCACCAAGCTACATCGCCAGCCCTGAAGAGATTCTCTTTAAGTATGTGTGTGGTGCATGTGTGTGCACTTACAGAGGTCAGAGGACAACTTGCAGGAATCAGTTCTCTTGTTCCATCCTGTGGGTCATGGGGATTGAATTCAGATCATCGGACTTGTTATTGCATGGAAGCAAGAAAAGGGTAGAGAGACTGGACTAGGACTTTCCTAGTCCAGAATAAATGGTCGTGGGGTGATTGACTATAATATTCTCAAGAGTAAACGATGGAGAGGATCTATATCTCCTTGGAAAGGAACACTGCTGCCTCTGAGTTCATATTTTCTTAATAGATTTCTCGAATGTTGGCAGCCAAAACGGTTTTGGCTATCCGATACGATGCTTTTGGTGAAGATTCCAGTTCTGCGATGGGAGTTGAGAACAGAGCCAAATTAGAGGCCAGATTGAGAATTTTGGAGGACCGAGGGGTAAGAAAGAACCACACCCTGTCTGGCAGATGTTAACCTGTCAAAAGTTAATGAATTATAGTTTCATGAACACAAAATCACCTGTTAACATGGCTTTTTTTATATTTCTTAATATGCTCAATAGTATATTTTCTACTAATAATTTATCTTTGCATTAGCCATGAACATTTCTGTTAAACAATGCTTTCTGTTGAGATATGTTTACTCAAATTAGCAAAGAAAATGCATGCTGTCCAATAAAGGATGTGTTGTAGATTTTGACTTAGTAATTTTCATTTTTCTTCTTAGATAAGAAAAATAAGTGGAACAGGAAAGGCCTTAGCAAAAGCAGAAAAGTATGAACACAAAAGGTAAAGTACATTGTAGAGTTCCTTGTTATTTAAATATATTTAATACCTTTTTTTTTATTGTAAACTCAGTGTAGAATAACACTTTTGAAAAAGGGGCTGGAGAGATGGATCAGCAATGAAGTGTTAAGTTCAGATCTTGCAGAGTACCGAGGTTTCGTTCCCAGTACCCACTTTGTGGCTCACAATCTGGCACACTTGTACACACATACCTGAGGCAAAACATTCATGCACAACAGGAATCATTTTTACAACTGATGGGGCTTGAGCAATGAATGGCTCAGTAGTTCAGAGCACTGACTGCTCTTGCAGAGGACCTGGGTTTGATTCTCAGCACCCACATGGCAGCTCTCAACTGTCAGAACATGCACATGTGGAAACAATGAGTCTACTGGCAACTAAAAATCGCATTTAGTGTGTCAGTATTTTGAAAAATGTGCGCAGTTGTAGAGTCACTAAGTTGACAGGCTCGATCTTTTTTGTCTATCTTGAGCAGTTTTCAGGAACATGTTAATTACAGTCATCACCATGCTGTCTATATACATCTTTTATATACATCTATAATTTTTTCTTGCCGTTTAGTTTTTCATGCTTGACTTCTAGTTTTTGTTGGTTTGTTTTAATATATTTGTGTGTGTTTGGGTTGTGTATGTATACACAGGCAAGCCACGGCACTCATGTAGAGGTCAGAGGACAACTTTCAGGAGTTTGTACTTCGACCATGTGGGGTCCAGGGATTGAAACGAGGTGGCTGGGGTTGGTATCAAATGCTTTTTACCAATAAAGCCCTCTTGCTGGTCCTTGATAAACATGTATTTAATTCAGTCACTTCACTTACTCTGTAGTGTACCATTCAGAGTTATCTACAGTGAAACTTTTTCTAAAAACCCCAGACAGGCCTAAAAATACAGTCCATAGTCATAAAGAAGTATTGAGGCCTTACTTGGATGTAGAGGGATGCTTTATCATTTCAGGCTAAGTGGGATGTTTGTAAGTTACAGGGATTGAAATGGAGTTGTGCATCTTTTATGATAAACTGGTACTGTGTATCAAGGTCCTCCAGTAAACCACTTGGAAAGTGAATGCAGCGTGGTTCAAAATAATGTTCAACTTTGCCTATATTGCAAGTTGGAGGCCAATCTAAGCTACACAGGACCCTGTCTTTTA